CGGGCGCCACGCTGCTATCTCCCCCGGGCCACCCGGCGCGCGTGGGTCGCGTACGAGACGCATCGCCACGGGGAGACTTCCCTGAACGCAGCCAACTTTCCACCGACAGCTGGGGCCTCGGCTAGGGCCTCGGCTGGGGCCCCCACCCCCTTTCTCCAGAGCTGTCAATCCGATTGGGACAGTCATTACCCACCGCCCCACCCACGGCCCCTTACTTACCCCTTCCCATGTAAGGACGGCAACTTTTAAGTACACCTCGTATTAAGCTGCGAAGTCTTTTAGAATTCACTGAAGAGCACCAGTCAAGAAACCGCGACTCGTGCACATCTTGCGGTCACGCGAAATCCGACCGTGAAATACGACGCAATCGTGCAAAATCTCGCGTGCTCCACAAAAGAGGAAGAGGCCCAGCAGCGTCCTCCTCAGCCATCCCCCCCAAAAGTACCTTGCATCGGGTGCAATACCCGGAAAAGTTAATTATGGCCTCCTGCCTGCGAAAAGAGTGACAGTCATTGGCTGTCGCCATTCAGGGAAGGACCGAGCCGACCAATCCCCGGCACTACGCATGACTGCACCAAGGGCACCTGGCGCCGCCAAGTGTACCACCGAGTGGACCACCGAGTGGACCACCGAGTGTACCACGCTGCAAAAAGAGCCGTACCCTGTCCACCGACTTGATAGCACGATATCATAGTGCCGCCGTGGCTCTAATGAAAGACGTACGCGCACTTTAGATAACGTTCTTTTTTGACAGTGCACGCCGCTTGCCGATGAAACATTTTGCTTGCTGTGCATGACGGTGGGAATCGCGGGAGGATGCGGGGAGATAAGTACTTCATCGCCCATGGGCGCCGTCTCAGGACCGCCTCCTTCGGACCAAAAAGGCCCCCTGCCTCCCCCTTCCCCACCTCGCTCCGCCCCGCATTTGAGCTAGTGCCACGCTAATGAAGCCCCTGAGCCAAAGTGTCCCCGCTCCTGGTCTCTATGCCTGGTACGCAGTGAGACGCAAGACCTCGAGCAGGTAACATAACATATTCTTTTCAGGTGGTGGTGGTGGCGGTGGTGGTGGTAGTTTTTGGATGAATAGGCCCTTGAAGTATGAAAGACTCCGCGCCCCATTCCCCCGCTCGGCTCGACCTCCAACTCCCGCCCCTCTGACAGCCCCTGGCGCATGTAAACGTCAATGACCCTTCACGTGGACAAAGTAATGGCAGCGCGGGTGTTTGGGGGGAAAAGAGAGGAGAAAGGGGGGGTGGTGGAGAAAGGGGAAGGCGTGTGAATCCCACTGGTCGATGAAATTCTCTTTGTCTGTCCTCATTCGCCCATAATGGATGGAATACGACACGCGTAGAGCACCGCGCCGCGCTTCCCCCCACCCCCCTAAGGAAACACCTTTGCCTGCTCGGAACTTGGAATTTGTCGTGCCACACGTGTCCCAGCGAGCCCAGAGCACGGCGTGTGAGGCTGGGGATTCAGAACGCCTCGAACATAGGTGTCGTTATTGGTAACACCGCCAATAGCTGTAGTGGCTAACGTGTTATACACAGTTTTAAATACATGTAGACTCAATAAACCAGTTCTACTCAGTAATACCTGCCGTTAGCGCTGCTTCCCTTCTCCTACCTCAGACCACAAAGTATCTACGGTCCACCATCCCTTCTAAGATAAACGACTACAAGAAGGCCTTGCCGTAGGCGTGGGTCGACCTTGGACCAGCTCCCGCTTGAGACGCCCCTCCTCCAGCCGGCAGCCACCACGTGGCCCGGCGCCACCGACCAATGGTGAGAGCGCGTTTTGGCGCGAAACTTCAAACTGGCGCCGGGGAACACCCTGGACGCACCAGACACGCGCACTGAGCAGGCACATGGAGCGGCAGAGGCCGGCCCAGGACCTTCCCCGGCGGCGACCTGCCCACGCACCGGACAGGCGCACCGAGCAGGCACATGGAGCGGCAGAGGCCGGCCCAGGACCAACCCCGCCGGCGGCCCGCCCACGCACCGGACACGCGCACTGAGCGGGCACGTGGAGCGGCAGAGGCCGGCCCAGGACCTTCCCCGCCGGCGGCCCGCCGCAGGCTCCGCAGCTCTGGCGGGCACCAAGCCTCGCCCTCGTGGGCTAGAAATAACCGCCTCTGCTGGTCCCCAGTCCGTCGGGCTGCTGCGTGCCGCCCCCCGCCCCTCACCTCCCCGTGGCCCCCGCCAAGCCACCGGTGGCGTCTCCTCACCTGGCCCGAGGTCTTCGCGGACGTGCAGCGCGCACAGCACGCTGTGCGCGATGTCGAAGTACGGGAACATCTTTAGCTTGGTGACCTGGTTGGCCAGGTCCAGGAAGGCCTCTGGATCCATGGCGGCGGTGTGATTATGACGGCGTGCTGTGTCGTCGTCGTCCTGGTGGTCCCGGGGGCCGGCGCTGCAATGCCGGCGGCTGAGCTGAGGTGGCCGAGGTCTCGCTCACAGGCCCCGCTCGTGCACACTGCAGCGGCTGCGGGTGCGGAGCGGCGCGGCCGCGGCAGACGCGCAGCTCCGCGACGCCCCCTCCACCCCCCGCAGCCCCC